ATGAATTTACATAACTCCCGTCCAGGGGACGAGTACTCCAGCTAGTTGTTAAATATACATTGTAAGTCTAAGTAGTGATAGGCTGTAAAAGTGAAGATATTATTGGACAAGAGGAAACAAAATAAATTATTATTCCACCATTTTGTTTTTTTAACAATGAATCGAGAATATGAGGTTCAAACAGGCCCGGCTCCAGTTTCTCTCCCTTCAGGGGGATAAAGTTGCTTTTGTTGACTCCTTTTAGCGATTTTTAAAAAAATGAAAATTAATAATGTGATTTTTTAAACCGCAAGGAAGAATGAACATGGATGGGCCAGAGTGAAATTTGGGGGTGTACGGCCCACCTCAGCACTATCCCTAGCGCCGGTTCAGGTAATATATATATATATGTAATACACGGTGTTTTTCCATTGATTTAAATGTAATTTTACTGTGATTGAAATTAACTCTCACAAGGTCGTATGGAATCAGATACCCACTCTATATTTACAGGTAGTAGAAGCTGATGAAATACTTCAAAATGGGTACAATAAAGTTGCTATAAAAATAATTGATCTACAATACGTTGACCAAGAGTACGTTGAGAAATTTTTTCCAAGAGAGCTTTCCGTGCTCAAAAAGGTCCGCCACCGACATATTGTTAGAATGATTGCACATTTCATCATGGATGGAAAGGTCAGTATGTATAATATACAACCCTTAGTAGATTACACTTAAAAAAATTCACCCCATTTTACTTCTAAAATTAGCATGATTTAACCCTAATCGTCTTGTGGTTGTAAAAAAATGCAGAAAAGGTTGAGATGCCATCGAAAATTGGATGAATAACCAAAGAGTACACGTGACATCAAACAATATATCATTCAGTGTAGCATAAAACGGTTTCTCAGAATATAACAACGTTCAGTACATTCCAGTAAGAAACCTGTAAAACGACGATACTTATTTGCAAAATATATCTTTAAAAAATTAACTTTAAAATTCCAAACAGGTCGATGGACTCGGTCTACCTATACCGGTTCTTTTCTTGCACACTATCTTAGTTGGAAAAAATTATACCAACCGTCTCCAATTTATTATCATACTGTTATTAGGCCAAAACCTTATCGCACCAACACTATCAGAACAGTTAAAATTATATCAACTTTCTCCAATTTATTATCATACTGCTATTAGGCCAAAACCTTATCGCACTAACGCTATCAGAACGGTTAAAAATTATATCAACTTTCTCCAATTTATTATCATACTGCTATTAGGCCAAAACCTTATCGCACTAACGCTATCAGAACGGTTAAAAATTATATCAACTTTCTCCAATTTATTATCATACTGTTATTAGGCCAAAACCTTATCGCACTAACGCTATCAGAACGGTTAAAAATTATATAAACCTTCTGCCACTTATTATCATACTGTTTTTAGGCCAAAA